AAAAAAAAACCGCAATCGCGATCAGCTCTACCACCGCCGCTTCCGTCTTCGGCGGCAATTTGGTGGCAGGTCCTTCCCTCCGAGAGGAACCGAGGGACCCGCTGCCGAATTGCCGCGGAAGAGCCGGACGTGCCGCCCCTCTCCATTGGCCACCCCAAGCACCAGCTTGCTGAGCTGGTGCCTGGAGCCGGCCCTGGTGCTAAGTATATTTTACTTACATCAGCCACTCAGACAGATATGTTCATTTTCAATTGTTCCGTGTAATCTATAAAATGCATTATTTATTTCTGAGCGTGCTGATGACTTCCAAACATCTGACCTAACAGAATACTCTATGTTTGTTTTCAGAGATGCATCTACCAAGCCTGTAACTATGAGGAGACCTTTCCTTATATTTGTTCTGCTCTGGAATCTTATGCAAGAGTGTGTGCTTCAATGGGGCTGATCCTTGTAAACTGGAGGGACACTGTAGACAACTGCAGTAAGTGACCCCAACTAGCTCTTAAAAGTTTGTAATCAGATGCATATCTATATCATCTCTGCTACCTAGAAAACTCAGAAAAACATTCCTCCATTTGGAAAATTCCAGTGTTTGATATGGAACAAAATTGGGCGGTGCTGTCCTCTCCTGGGTTAAGACCAGTTCCACTTCTAAAATTCTCTCTAAGCTGCTGAAATATCATTAAGTATCATGGAGTAGTTTCAGGCACAAAAAAAATCACTTTTGTAGGTAATTCTACAGAATTTGCATTTTAGGAGTGGTTTGATTTCATAAGGAATGTATATGCAAAATACCCCAAAAAGTAGGATGTTCTCTGAGCTTTATCACCAACTCCCATGGAAGAAGCACAAAGATGACTGAAGTTACTCATGAAACTATGAGTGCTTCAGCACACACAGCTCTATAGTCCTCATCCTTTGGTATCACCCACAGGGTCAGTCGATTTTCCATCTAGGGGAAATCCTGCAGATCCTAAGGTTTCTACAAAGATGGCCTGCAGGGTCTACTCTACTCCCAAAGACCCTCCTGCTTCTCACAGCAAAGCTCACTAAGGAGCCATGCTTTGATTGAGAGAGGGACTCTATCTCACTCTCACTCTGAGGGAGGAAAGCAAGAGACAGCAGTTAACACTGAAACTGTTAATTCAGCACCTTCCCCTGGCTCCAGCACCCCTTTGAGGGGAGATCAGGGAAATGAAGTGTAACTCACACTCTTTTCTTCATTTTACAGCCATTTCCTGTACTGGCAATCAGACATTCAGCTACCACACTGAAGCCTGTGATAGGACGTGCCTGTCACTTTCCGACCAAACCCTGGAATGTTATCCTACTGACATCCCTATTGATGGCTGCAACTGTCCTAAAGGTACCTACTTGAACCACAGAAGTGAATGTGTGCGTAAATCCATGTGTCCCTGCTACCTGGAAGATAAGAGGTTCATCCTGCCTGACCAGTCAACTATAATTGGTGGCATTACCTGGTAAGTTTGTGAGTTAAAAGAAATGAACATACTGCAAAGGGAGGGCTTGTTCATGTGTTTGATTTTGTCAAACTGCAGAGATTTTTTTTTTTACAATAGGGCTGTTGCCTTCCCCTTTTTTTTTTGCTTCTTTCTAAAAGAAAGGTGGGTCCAAAAGTTTTTTTTATTTGGTTCTCTTTTACCTTGGAAATATTAGGCACATAAAATCTAGTCTTCCCTGAAAATGTTGGAGAAGCACTAGGAGATATAAGAATTATGCTGCCAGGTGCTGTGCCAACACATAAACAGGATCCCTGCCTCACATTGCATACACTACTGACATTGCTGGTTATATTGTTGCAGTCCAAAGAGTAAGCAGAGGCATGTTGGCTTGTATTCCATTTTAAAGGAACTGGGAGGCTCAAGAGGCATAGATGGAATGTTTGTTTCTTGGAAAAGGATGAAGTCATTTGACAAAAAGCCTGAACATTGTTTTCTTAGGAGGGTATCACATTCAAAGAGGAAAAATTAAAACCATAAAACAACTCGAGTTTTAATTGTCCCATTTAGTAAGGGATGTACACTGAAATATTCTTTTCTTTTCTAGCTTTTGTGTTAATGGAAAGATGAGTTGCACTGGTAAACCTCAAGACCCTGCAGGTATGCATTTGGCTACAGTTTACCTTCGCCTTCAAAAGCATTATTTTCCCCATGTAACGGAGGTCCCTTCTGACCTTAAAGTCTATGAGTCTATGAGTTATCCCTTCATAACTTTCTGTTTCTCTTTTTTTTTCTGCTAGAAAACTGCAAGCCTCCCAAAAAATATGTGTCATGTTCACAGAACTCAGAGAACAAATATGGAGCCTCCTGTTCCCCTACCTGTCAGATGCT